GAAAGATGAGACTTTGTTTCTTATCAAAAGTAACAATATATAAAAGTGGAAGTTTCCAATTAAGTTCCACTCATGCAGTGGTTAAACCAACGCTGTGTTTGCGTACCGAACCGAAAGACCTGTACCGAAATTTTTCAGTACAAATACGTGCACCGTTACACCCCTAACCCTCCACATGTGTGACTAATACTTTATTACAAGCAGACATAAACTGACACTAATTATCCAAACACTAGCAGCATTGTAGTATAAGAGTTTACAGATATGACGCTTGTGGCTCTTATTAAAAGTTCAATACTCTAGGAACTACAAGCACCGAATGTCCAAATAGTCTGAGGAACACAGGCCACAACTGTTAATTTCTTTGACAGAGACGTGAATAGAAACCGAAGTTAAAGAACCAGTATGGTGTTTTTTTTTTACACAATGAAGTTCTCATCAGGCATGCGGCCAGGCTTCATAAGGACTGAAAATCAACTCATTTGCGACCTCTCAAACTAATCTGTTGGCTTTGAGCACGCTGTCTGATGATTCTAGTCAAAACAAGTTCTGAGCGCCAGTCATTTGGAATATGAATACCTACCTTTCCCAAATTCACACACAACATTGTGACATCTTGCTTAACAAATAGTCCACTGTAAGACATCCTAACACAAAAGTTAGAAACACTTACCCTCTCTGTGGCCTTGCTTTTCTGAAGTGTTGCTCCCGTCAATCTGTAGAAAGAACAGCCGTACGGTTAGACTGGCATTTTATCAATGAACATCTGTGTTGATTCCCAGTATTTGTGGACTTGCTGTCCTTTACCTCCGTTACCATGCTTAGAAAGACACAGGGGCTAATTTGCTGTCTTCGTGTATTATTTATACTGGCTCTATTAGAGTTGGGTTTTTCCCTTTACAATCAAGCCACAGAGACGGACAGATCTTACAAGAGAGTCAATGCTGTACATCCTGCCAATGTCAGATAAGGCCTGAACAGGTCAGTTACAACTGGCTTTATCTAATGAAGTCTAATGTAATACAAAAGCACAATACAGGCATATATTGCCCCTCTGTATACATTAAGATAATATAAACCTTCAGTGCAACATTTTCACTTTATTCTCACAATTTTGGGCGTTTCTTCTGAATGGGTACGTGTATGCTTAAAGGTGTCAATACATAGTTGTGGGAAATCAGGATAAAATATCCCTTTAACCTCACCTAACAATGTCAACAAGGTTAAAAAACAAAGTTCATTATCAAACACAGCACAAGTACACAAATACACCAAAGAGCCCATTACAAGCAATCAGTGTTAATTTAGTCAACGAAGACGATGACGAAAAATATTCGTTAACGGACATTTTTTCTTGTTTGCATATCTAGTCTCAGTATGGCAGCCGCAGTGGATGGATAGGCCACCAAAATGCGAACTAGCGATCTGAAACAATGGCCTCAGCACCCGAAGGGATAGGGATAAGGTGACCAGACGTCCCGTTTTTTCCGGGAGTCACAATTCGTTGTCGATTAACTTAAAGTTAGTGAAGACGGGATAGGCGGAATCTCGCTGATACTGTATCTGAAAAATTAGTTTAATTTGTATCTCTTTCGTATTTGTCTTATTCTGCTTTTTTCAAAAATTATAAATTATATATTATATGAAAGTTTGACTAAAAGTAATGACTAAAAGTTGACAAAAATGCAATGACATTTCATCGACTAAAACTATGAAAGACTCAAATGACTAAAATGTGACAGACTATTAAGCGTTTTCATCTCAAGATAAAGACTAAGACTAAATCAAAAATGCCTGTCAAAATTAACACTGCAAGCAATCACGTCAAGCAAAATGGGCCTTCTTGCTCTTCACGGCAGAGTTCTTATTCAATAGCATATTATCAACCTATGTTGTCTTTTTTCTGAAAATCTTTTACCCACAAGGCTCCCATTCTAGACATAACTCGTTATTTCTATACCAAACTACAACTGAAGGTCGCAACACTGCTAACATGATAAAGAATTCCCAACAGAACACAGTCCACATTAGATTACCATTGCATTCAGCACCAACTAGTCCTGTCAATATAATGCAACTTTATGGATTCCTCAAGTCATTTTCAGAGAGCTTTATGCATTATACCTATACAAAGGTTTTGGCTAGGAAGTAGAAGCACAATCGTCCATTATGAAGCTCTTATCAAATGATAGTGATAGTTCACGTGACAGTCCTGAACAGCAGCAGCTTTCTGTTCAACAGGCCTCTGGTGCTCAAAGCAGAAGGCCAGAGACTAACATTTCTCACCACATTTAACTTATAACACATTTTATTGACAGACTTAGTGGAAACAAGCAGCTATACGAGCACTTGCAAACTAAGCTAGACGAACACTGACACTGAATGCGATGGCCTCAGGAGCAGTTATGTATGGTGTACTGATATTTTATTAGCACGTTAGCGTTGAAACAAGAAAGTAAAAGCTCTATCAGGAAGAGACATTTCCATTCGCTGCTAGTGCTCGGAGAACTTTTGCTGGGATCGATTCCTCCCTTTTGATGGATATGAGATTAAGCCACAAAGTTGCATTTTACTTGCATAAGGAGCCTTTTACAAATGGGGAACATGAAAGGCCCTCTATGCTAAAAACTTAACACTACTACTATACTAACACGTTTGCTGCGATCATATACGTGTTCATTTAGCCAGGGAGTGACCATGCGTTTTCCAACAGGACCTCTAGTTTCGAGAGCGATCGCAGTGAAAATGCATGCGATGTAAAGACCGCGTGTGCAACACAGGGAGCGACCTCTCCGAGTCCTGCTCGTCACCTGCATCTATTTAATTGCTTTGCATCGTTACACTTCTCAGTGATGCTAACTTAGCAGAACAGCTCGAACAGCGCGCCGAAGTTACACAAGATTCGAGAACTCTCGACGCAGCTGTGCATGTACTACTGGTCAAACCGTATCTATACGCGACATGAGCCCCGTGGGCGCGCGGTGGTCGATCTGCGCTACATAATGACGCATGTTAGCGCGTGCTAGCGACCGTAAACAACCACCAGTTAGCTCGCGCAGCTACAACCATCAACAATCAACACTTACCCTCGATGCCCCCTTTTGTAAACGGAGGTAACTGAGTAGGTATGGTGTGCTGACACAGGGGAATGATTGTGTAGTGGGATTTGAGAGTTAGTAGTTTTCTTTGATTACGTCTTCCCACGACAACCTACATTCTGGGTGGAAGAGGGACGGTGCAAAATGGCTGTCTTTCCTGCATGCACCATCACATTTATTAAAAGGGGAGTGGGGTGGAGCCTCTGTCGAAATGGATTGAATAAATATGTACGTTTGGTGTCAAAACGTTGATAGACACGTCTATAATAACAATTTATATTTGTCTTTTATGATAAATTCGTATATAAATACTTAAAACAATAGTTAAAAGCAATTGGTTAGAATGCGTTCCCCCTTAGGCAGAGATGTGCGTTCCTCTCACGTGGTCGTTCAAGTCAATAAAAGCCCAAGCGGTCTGCCTGTGTGATATGGAGATAAACATCAAATGTGTGTATTTGACAGACTGGTTAATGTGAAGTCTACTTTTAATGTCTGTTCAGTTGTGTTGATATTATTATGGGTTTGGTAATGGTTTTTAAAAAGCCTTTTTCCAAAAGGTACATCTGGAAAAAGGGGGGGTCGTCTTATAATCAGGGTCGTCTTATATTCGGGCCAATACGGTACTATATAAATGCATTCACAATCATAAGGAAACACAAACACACTGTAATAAGGACATTAACCACGTTTACATGCACAAAATTGTACAACTGATGTCCATATCCTGGCTTTATCCTAAAAAAAGAGGTTTGCATTCTACTGGAATGTTACTGTGCACGTGTTTGAACACGTAAATTCAAAGACATTGCATTTTTTATTGAACATACTGCCAGTGTTCATTATTGCCTCTTTTATGCTGCATTGTAGTATTTGGGTAAGTGTACATTATGGATTCATTGATGTTCATTCATAAACATTAACACAAGTGCACGATAAACTGCAAAATGACACGAGACTCTTACAAATGTAGGCCATGACTTTATGTCTCCTCCTCCTCCTCACACAATGTGCCTCTTCAGTATCAATGGCATCTGGTCAGTGGCTAAAGGCGTTCTTGGTTCGGTGAATTTATTCCCTTTCCCAATCGGTGTCCAGCAAATTAACCTCCAAAACAGAAGATGGCAATGCACGGATTTAGTCTGGAGGAGCTGAACACGCAGCGCCAGGTGGAGCCTGGGGAGAAGGAATGGGATGGAGCATCGAATAATTATTTAAGTAGGAATATTTGTGTATATACGCGTGTAAGAACAGGAAAAGCAAAAACAAGGAATAAATTGATAATAAATAAACCATGACTGCATTACAGCAAAAGTAGGTGGCGATATGCACACAGGATGTAACACGCCAAAAAACGGAAGAAGAAGAAAATGGCAATGTTGAGGATCTGTAACATGCGTCGAAGAAAAAGCTCTTTTATGTGCAGTGATTATGAAGAGGAGTGAGAATGAAACTCCTGTGAAGCGTTTGAAGTTGTACGTGTCGTTCGTTTACACAAGGAACGATGTCGAGTGTTCTAGCAAGGGTTTTATTTTATCCCACACTCGCTTACAATGTTGTCATGGAAAAGATCACTTCCAGGCATTGGTATAATCGCGTGGATCCTACTGTCATTCTTGGTGCTCTTCCTTTCAGGTCAATGACAGAGGAGGTATTTGTCATTTACAGTATTTATGATAATTATAATGATCCTACCATATTTATAAAATACCACAGTATCAAATTCCAGTCCTGTTTCAGGACTCTCCTAACGCCTCTTGTCTCGTTTGGCTTTAGTTGGTCCAAAATGAGAAAGTCAGAGGAGTTATTACTATGAATGAAGAATATGAGACAAAATATTTCTGCAATTCAGCTGAGGTAAGTGCATCTGCCAGCTCTGTCACTCGATCATTACCAACCATAATCACATATGTCAATGTACAACTAAGGGTGCTTTTTTCCTGTTGGTTATATAACAGGACTGGCAAGCTGTTGGCGTTGACCAGATCAGACTCAGCACGGTGGACCTTACAGGTATTCCCAGCCTAGAGCACGTTCACAAGGGTGTGGACTTCGCCTTGAAACATCGAGAGCAAGGCACCAGTGTCTATATTCACTGCAAGGCTGGCCGCTCACGCAGTGCAACTATTGCAGCCGCATACCTCATCAGGGTGGGTGTGAGTCTGCATACACCATGAACAATAACAAAGTCAGCAGCTCTATGTCATAGGCCACCACTGTGAACGATATTTGTCATTGTGTGATTGCATATTTTTTTGTACTTTTTTTCATTGAGTATTTATAATCTTTTGTCTCTTAATATTGTTGGTGGAAAATTTTGGAGGAAAAAAATTAGATAGGTCAATTCATGTGATGCTGATCACTTCACTACATAAAACCCACATATGCAGAATTCAAAGGGACTTATATACCTAAGCTTCACTTCTACTTTTTTAAGAATAAACCATGCACAATTCCACTGAGAGACGTACAGTATATTCTTTATATGAATTTGTTCCTTTTTGTCCTTATTTAAGGGAATTTAATAATTAAATTAAGTCAAGTAGTTTGTATTAATGCATATTACTGCAAGTTTTTACATTTCTATTGTAAAACGTTAATATTAAATGTTTAGCTACGTACGTCTTACCTCACACTCAGTCAACATTAAAACTTTAATGAGTGCTGTTAGATCAGACCAGACTAAAAATGTAACTTTGAAACTTTTTGTCATCCTAACAACAAAAAATTCTTGTTGGTAAAGGAGTGCAGCAAAGCAGCTTAAGAATATCAAATATTGAGGGGGAGGGTTTGTCCCTATATAATTATTGAAGGGAGATATCCTCGTTCTCAGTGTCTATAGTGGTTACAGCCGTGTGTTAAATGCTTGTTTTCCTTTCACAGCTACACTGTTGGAGTCCAGAGGAGGCCTGTAAGATGCTGGCCTCAGTCCGGCCTCATGTGCTGATCCGCTCAGCCCAGTTGGAGATTCTGCAGGAGTACTTCAAGCAAGTGTGTGGTTCAGAGTCCAGCTAGAAGATACACAGTGTACAAATGCTGACAATAATGCTAAATCTGATATATTGTAGAGCCGTAATAAGTTGTTTTTCCTTGTTAGAGTGCATATTTTTCTATATATTCTTTTAAGAATTAGTGTACTGTACATAAAAGCAGACTTAAAGCTATAATAACATCCATCTGGATTACGTTGTGAATAAAACAATATTGTTGTTATTTCTATTACCTCAGATGTTTTAGACCAGGGGTCACCAAACTCGGTCCTGGAGGGCCAGTGTCCTGCAGAGTTTAGCTCCAACTTGTCTCAACACATCTGTCTGGAAGTATACCTAGTAAGACCTTGATTAGCTGGTTCAGGTGTGTTTGATTAAGGTTGGAGCTAAACTCTGCAGGACTCCGGACTAATTTAATTTACTGTTAACTTCCGGCTGTAGCTGTATCCCTTCTAGCCACAACCGTTTTAGACGGTGACAGGGTTTCCATGCGTCCTGGAAATCCTGGAAAATTGATGGCTACTTTTCCAGTCCTGGAAAACACATGGAAAATGTCAAATGTCCTGGAAAATGTTTTCCTTTGGCCAAGAACGCACAGTTTACCACTGGCCCGAGACAATTTTAATGTTAGTAGTAGAAAACGAACGGCCATAACTCGGAACAGGTGTTAAACCGAATTCTGTGACTGTAGTAGGTGTTGCAGTGAGGGTAGGTTTAGGATTAGGATTGGGTTTAGGAGTAGGTTGGATATGCTCAATACGGCGCCTAATATGGTCACATAATTCGGTGCAACAGCGGCCTGTTTTTGCTCCAAACGCACGATCGGCAACCGGATTTTTTTGTCTTATTTCAGCTGACCTCTGTTCCGGACTTGCATACAAACTGTGTTGCAAGCATTTTCCAAAATGTAATTTGTGTGGAAATATTAGGAAGTCTGTAAACGGGACGTTAACAAAGGCCACTGAAGAAGAACACAAAGAGGGGAAAATACTGTAACTTAGCAGACAGAGCAGCTCACTGTTCACGATGAGCAAAATATTGGAAGAAAATCCTTAATATTGAATTGGGGTTTATATGAGTGTATCTCTGGGGGGAACTGACTGTCTTTAGAAAAGTTTAGATGGTATTTTCTTTACGGCCATAACTCGGAACAGGTGTTAAACCGAATTCTGTGACTGTAGTAGGTGTTGCAGTGAGGGTAGGTTTAGGATTAGGATTGGGTTTAGGAGTAGGTTGGATATGCTCAATACGGCGCCTAATATGGTCACATAATTCGGTGCAACAGCGGCCTGTTTTTGCTCCAAACGCACGATCGGCAACCGGATTTTTTTGTCTTATTTCAGCTGACCTCTGTTCCGGACTTGCATACAAACTGTGTTGCAAGCATTTTCCAAAATGTAATTTGTGTGGAAATATTAGGAAGTCTGTAAACGGGACGTTAACAAAGGCCACTGAAGAAGAACACAAAGAGGGGAAAATACTGTAACTTAGCAGACAGAGCAGCTCACTGTTCACGATGAGCGAAATATTGGAAGAAAATCCTTAATATTGAATTGGGGTTTATATGAGTGTATCTCTGAGGGGAACTGACTGTCTTTAGAAAAGTTTAGATGGTATTTTCTTTTCATCTTACCTTCATATAATGAAGAATATTAAAGTAGTGTTTATAAGCACTGCCCTGCTTTGTTTACCGTGGTAAATATGGAAACGCTGTATCGCCGCTGTTTCATAAGCGCCACCTGCTGTCAGAGAGTGAATCTACGTCTCATTCAGTCCGTCAGCTGATTTTGTTTTGTGCAGGTGTGTTTTATGTAGCATAATTTCAAAGCTAAAGTCAGACCATTCTGTTTTCTGTCTTCACCATTCTGTCTTCAGATTTTGAAATTACATTGATCTAAAAAAGTTAAAAGTGAAAGTTAATCTAATTTAAATTAACGGAAACTGCTCATGCATGCAGCATCTTTGTTTGGATTATGATTAAAATGCAGTGGTTGCCTCTAATTTTAAATGGCTACAGATAGTAGGCCTATCATCTTGTTCATGTAGTCATATTTTAATTCTATCTTATCTCTTGCTTTAAAAAATAAAATAAAAATTAACAAATCGGAATCGGCCCATTTGCTTGTAAAATCACCATGCAAAAAAAAATCAAGCAAGATTGGTGCATCGACTGATGAAAACGCACTAGTGTAAACGCAGCCTCAGCATTGATGTGTTTCCCAACTTTATCCAGTGGGGAACTTTAAGAGAAGTATTTCAGTGATTCAGTAACTTGTTAACTAATAATTTTGATTATTGTCAAAAGTGGGCTACTTCTGTTAAGTTGATACTGAAAAAAATTAATATATTAATTATTATAATAGGCTAATGCCAGCCTTTCTGAAGCACTGGTAGTACCAAGTAAAGACCACTGATCTATAATATATATTACATAAATCAGTAATACAGACTCAATTCAGTACTCGCTGATAGGCTGCTGCTTTCCAACGCTTCCGTAAATATTTATATCGCTTTCCGTGAACAGTGATATGCAATGGCCAATCAGAGGTGTTTCTAGTCAGAATCCACTCATTTTTCACTTGACCCTTTTAAAGCAATACTTAATTTAAAAATATTTGAAGGATACATGCCAGTATTTTAAAATAGTATTTTCTTTTATATTATTATTAGCATTAATAATGAATTGATTTGATTTATTTTCATTTTCAAATTGTTTAATAAAATAATTAAATACTTTTTTTTTTTTGCTATGGTGCTGAAATTGGTTCTGAAAATCATTTGTTGTAATGTTTAATTAAGAGCTTATATTAAAGAGCTGATTTTTTAAGTTAAGTCATGGCCATAAAATGTATGACTTCTGTAGAGACGAATATATTGCTTTAGGGCATGATCCTTATCTTTTATTGTCGCCATAATTAAATTAAAAATGTCCTGGACAAGTCCTCAAATCCTGGAAAATTATCACTGAAAAAGAGTGGGAACCCTGAGTGAATTTACAAATTTCACTTTTTTTTTTTTTAAATCTGAACTTCTAACTGGCTCCTTTGTATTAGGAGTTGTTAAAAAGGCTGCATCTGGCAATTGGTGTTTTGTTTCTTTGTGCATGTTATCTATAAGGTCATGATATTTTGTAATTGTAAGGAAATCCTGTCTTGGCAGCTTAAAAGAGCCAATGCATTTAATTCATTTTCTATGATTAAATACTATAATGAAACGGAGAGAGACCATTTGCAATACATTTTAATAAATAGGATGACAAACAACGGTAGGTGATGGTCTTTTTTTAGTGAAATATACAGGGTCAGTGTTTTAACCCTGGAAGGTGTACCGTTCCATATTTGATACATGAATTCTAGTGGCTCTAAATTATCAACATGATCAAAATTTTGCTCAAACACCTGTTGTATACATTCTAATCTATTACATGCTTTCTGCCCTCTGATTGATGGATTGATAGTTCATACGTTATTAGTAAGTAAAAGGCCTTTTATTCAAAATCTCATTGATTTACACTACAATCAGAATTTCGGACTTACTTACTTAACAACTGCATCAAATTGCCTAATTTTGCTCAGTTGTGGCCTCTGATGTGTATTTTTGTGATCTCTAAATTCTCAGTATATCTTGTTATATGAGCCATAAAAGCCTGATGTATCAAATATGAAACAAAGCATAAAACACATATGCAAACTTTTTAATAGCATTCTTTTATATTTTGTCTTAAGGGCAATTTAACTGATTTAAAAATTGATTTGCGACTATTATTTCAAATGTCAGGCTGTACAGGGTTTAAAGGGCTCGACTGTGCCGCCTGAAGATGGCAGCAGCGCACTGCGAAACGCACCCGCACCGTCAGCATCAGCGGATCCCGGCCGCGAGGAAGGACGCGGAGAGGGAGTAAAGATGGCGGCCTCCTTGGTTAGATTTGTCCGCAACGGTTTTGGAAGAAGTCTAAACGGTAAGAAATAAGCAAGAGCAGCACTGACCTCTTCGTAACTAATTATTTACGTAATCACCATTATTAGCACTGTGCAGGATCCACAACCCGCTCTTCTATGGTTAGGCTTTTTTTCTTCGCTATTGACCTTTCCTCTTGCTCTAACAGGCAGTAGAAATACAATGAACGCCAATGACAGTGTCGACTGATTTACAGCTATAATCTCAATTATGCCAATCATGCTTCTCTTATGCTTGAAATGAACACATCGCGCTTCTAGGGAGAAGGATTTTTGCAAAATTGCAGGAATGTCATTAATTTGGAATTTGTCGGACACAAGCTACTAATTTGATTCATTTTGATGTCTTGATCTGAACCTGTCATAATATCAGCACTATATTGTGCTGCATTAATTTCTCTCAATCTCTCTCATAGTTGCTAGACAGAGCGCTGCGATTGTCCAGACAAGAACAACGACAACTGAAACCAGACGTGAGTAGATTTGGGGAATTGGGTTTGTCATTGTTGTTAACGGGGCGGGGTGTTGATGTTTCATGATTAAATGTCTTTTTGCATTAGCTACTGTAAGGCCCAAGGATCCAGTCACACACACTCAGCTTTCAGAGTTTGGAGAATATATTGCAGAGATTCTCCCCAAATATGTGCAACAAGTTCAGGTCAGTTATTCTTATATTTATCATTTACAGATGACCGATTAGTGATACATATTGAAGATACACTCTGCAGTTCCTCAAAAATGGTTCTCTCATTTACAGCGGTTTGTTTAAATTCTAGGTGACCTGCTTTAATGAGCTGGAGCTAATGATCCACCCAGAAGGGATTATACCTGTTCTCACCTTCTTGAAGGATCACACAAACGCTCAGTTCCACAACATGACTGACCTGACAGCCGTGGATGTCCCTACAAGGCAGTACCGCTTCGAGGTGTTTATTTATTTATTTTATTTTACTTTTCATTATTATTTTTTCAATATATTCATGTAAAAATAACATTCAAAGGTGCATACTTTGGTAGTCTGGATGGGAGAAGTTATTAGCATGAGAAATACTCATCCATTTAACTGAATCAAACGTTTCTGAAACTGTTCTGCAAAGGATTGATGATCAAATTATTTCCTTTTCAGATTGTGTATAATCTGCTGTCCCTGCGCTATAATTCTCGTATCCGAGTGAAGACCTACACTGATGAGCTGAGTCCTCTTGACTCCTCTGTGCCTGTGCACCAGGCAGCTGACTGGTATGAGAGAGAGGTATGTGCCTTATTGTAATCAGCTGAAGTTTCATGAACAAGTTTTGAGCTTTGCATTTTACAGATTACAAAAATAGATGTCTGTTTTGTCTACAGTATACTTAGACACAAGCTGCAGTGCTCATGCAGTGGAGCCCCTGAGCTACTTCCCACCTGCTATGACACACTGCAGACTGCGAATGACTGTGAATGTCTTGTCAATGGTCCATGAGATCATGCAGCATAGCTGTAGATGCATGCAGATGTTAGGTCTGTTTCGTCAAATTTTAAAGGTAGTATTGTTTAATTCTGAAATTATATTTCATTACAGATTTGGGACATGTTTGGAGTTTTCTTCGCAAACCATCCAGATCTGAGACGCATCTTGACAGATTATGGATTTGAAGGTCATCCATTCAGAAAAGACTTTCCTTTGTCTGGATACGTTGAGGTAAATACGCTGAATATGAACTCCGTTACTGTTTACTGAATGCTGTCTCTCTGTCTCTCAGAAATGTTTTTGTTGTGACACTATAAATGCTGTTGTTTTGCTATTCATCAAAAAATCCTGTAAAAAATGTATCATGGTTTCCACAAAAATATTAAACCGGACAGCTATTTTCAATATTGATGAGAATAAGAAATGTTTCTTGAGCACTGAATCAGCATATAAGATTTCTAAAGGATCATGAGACACTGAAAACTGGAGTCATGGCTGCTGAAAATTCAGCCTTGCCATCACAGAAATAAATGACATTTGAAAATATATTAAAATAGGAAACAGTTGTTTTTAAGTTGTAATAATATTTCACAATATTACTGTGTACTGTATTTTTGATCAAATAAATGCAGCCTTGATGAACATGAGAGACTTCTTTCAAAATTATTATAAAATAGTAGTGTGTGTTCCAAGGTACAGAGCAATTATGCATTTTTAATTTTAAGCTGGGTGTGGATTCATTAATGCTGAATATTTTTCTTCTCCTTTGTCAGGTACGTTATGATGATGAAGTGAAGCGGGTTGTGGCTGAACCTGTTGAGCTGGCCCAGGAGTTCCGTAAGTTTGACTTGAACAGTCCGTGGGAAGCGTTCCCCGCATACCGCGAGCCTAAAGACGCACCTAAGCTGGAGTCTGGGGATAAACCAGCAAAG